CTCACCCAGCAACATAACCCTATAATGTATGAAGCAAAACGTGATAGAATTGAAAGAAGAAACAGGCAATTCATAAATAATAGTTTGGAAACTTCAATATCTTACTCCCGAAAATGGACAGAACAACTAAACAAGAAATCAATGAGACTATAGAAAATTTGAACAACAGTCCAGCTTGTCCTGACACTTCTTGACAACAGCAGAATATATCTTCATCTCAAGTGTACATGAATGTTTTTCAGGGTAGACCCTATTTTAAGACCTAAAGCAAGTGTCTATAAGTTTAAAGAGATTGAAATAATATGAAATATTTCATTTGATCACATGAAATAACATCATAACAGTTTGGGAAATCATAGTATTTAGAAATTAAAACAGTTCTAAATAACTCGTGTCAGAAAAGAAGCAGAGACATTAGAAAATACTTTGAGCTGAATGCAAATGCAAACAAAGCATTTGAAGTTTTATGAGATGCAGCTAAAACAGTGTTTAGAAGAATATTTATAGCTGTAAACCCTCATTAGAAAAGAAGATCCCAAATCAGCAATCTAATCTCCTGCCTTCAGAAAATAGCAAAGAAACAAAGTAAAATAAACCCAAAGAAACCACAAAGAAGAAAATAATTATTGAAGCAAAAATCAATGAAATATAAAACAAGGAATAGAGAAAGATCAACAGAGCCAAAAACAGGTTCTTCAAAAAGATAAAATTGACAAACTTTTAGATTCAGAGGGAGAGAGGGAGAGAGGGTGGGTGGAGGGAGGTAACTCAAATTTACAAAATCAGGAATGAAAGAAGGGGCTCACCACCAATCTTACATACATCAGAAAGGAATTGTACAGGGCTGGGGATGTAGCACTTGGTAGAGTGCTTGCCTAGCCTGCCTGAGGCCCTAGGTTCAATCTCTAGCACAGAGGGTGGAGCAATAGGCTTAGCTAAGATGACTTCACTGGAGAATTCTTCCATATGTATAAAGAGGAAAAGTTACCAATCCTTCAGAAACTCTCGATGAAAACAGACAAAGTAAATGCTTTCCTACTCATTCTATGAAGACAGTAATTATCCTGATACCAAAGAAGGACAAAGATACACAGAGAAAAGAAAACTGGACACTATTATCTCTTAAGAATATAGATGCAAACATCCTCAGAAAAATTGTAGCAAACTGAATTCAGCAACACACGAAAAGGTTGTGCACAGTGGCAATGTGAGATTTATCCTAGGAATGCAAGTTTGGTGTGACACTCCAAAATCTATTAATGTAAAACACCATTAATGGGCCAAAGGACCATAATCATAGGATCCTCTCAATGTCCCCGGTGTTATTGTTTGGATATGAGGTGTTCCCCCCAAATCACCTGTTTAATGCAGGAATATTCAGAAGTGGAATGGTTAGATTATGAGTGCTGTAATCTAATTAGTTCATCCTAGTTTGAATGGACTGACTGGGTGGTAACTGTAGACAGGTGGGGCGTGGCCGGAGGAGGTGGGTCACTGCTGAGGGGGCATGTGCCCTGGAAGTATTCATCTTCCCCTTGGCCTCTTCTCCTCACTCCCACTGGCCCTTGCTTCTTGACTCAGGTGAGCTGAGCGGCTTTCCTCCACTGGGCCCTTCCCCCAGGACGTTCTGCCTCACCTTGGACCCCGAGTCAGCTGTTAATGGGCTGAGACCTCTGAAACCATGTGCCACAAATAAACTTATCCTTCTCAAAGTCATTCTTGTCAGATGTTTTGGTTACCGCAATGCAAAATCTGACTAAAACACCCAGGAGAAGCATTTGACTAAATCTAGCTGCCATTCGTGATAAAAATTCTCTTAAAAAATTAAAAATCCTCTTAAAAAAAGATCTTTCTTAACCTGAAAAATAGGACCTATGAAAACATGCAACTAGCATATTGAATGGCAAGTGAGTAGATGAGGAGCGAGGTGAGGATGTTCAGTCTCATCACTTCTAATCGATGCATGTATAAAAACACACTTACAAAGCAATTAAAATGAATAAATACTTTTGGTAACATTGCAGGATACAAGATTAATGCACAAAAACACCACTGGGTGTTTCTATATTTCAGCTATAAAACATCTGAAAAAGAAATTAAGAAAATAACTATTCATAATGGCATAAAAATACTCAGAAATAAATTGAACACACATAAAATATGACCATAAACTATTGGTGAGGAAGAGTAAAAAACATGTAAATAAATGCAAGGACAGTCCATGTCTGGGTTGGAAAACCCCTTACCAAGTCCATGCATAAATTAAATGCAAACTCTCCTGAAATAAAAGTATTTTTAAAAAATATAGATCTACTAAGTTGCCGCAGTCCGGCTGGGCAAAATAACCAGGAGGTGACAAGCAACTTGAAAGTTGAGGCGGGAACTGCTTTATTGTGGGGAAACTCAGCGGGAACTGAGCGGGAACTCAAGGTAGCGGGCACCCAAGGTAGCGGGAGCTGCTTTATTGCAAAGCAGCAGAGGTATATATACCTAACTGATTACACACAGCTTGACTCTATTAGCATCATCCAGTTACAGTAATCAGCCAATAAGGAATCCCTATCATCTTAATGGCTCGGTAGCATTGCCTCACAAACCACTCCTCCTGGCAAACTGCCAGGCGCCATCTTGACTTGATTTGTGGTGCCCAACACTAAGTGATCCTAAAATTTGTATGGAAAAGCAAAGAACCTAGAATACTTAAAATAATATTGACAAAAACAAAGAACAAAATCAGTGAAGGAGAATGTGGTGCCTCCAAATAATGGAGCCCTGATATATCTGACATGATGTGGATGGGACAACACATTACTGTGGGTGAAAGAAGCCAGACACAAAAAGCCACCTGTTGTGTGACTGATCTCATTTATATGAAATGTCCAGAGAAGGCAAATCTACAGAGACAGAAAGTAGCTTAGTGGTTGCCTGGGGCTGGGGTTGGGGATGGTAGAGAGAAAGGGAAGTGACAGGTATGGGGACAGGTTGTGTCTGGGGGTGGGGTAGGAACTAGGAAGGACTGGAAATGGGCATGGGGCATCTTCAGGGTATAGTGGTCAGTTCTGAAACTGGATTGTGGTGATAGTTGCACAAACTATAAATTATAAAAGCTATCAAACTGTACACTTAAAATGCATACACCTTATGGAATGTAAATGATAGAAAAGCTTTTAAAGAAATAAGTACAAGAGACACTTTTACTTCTGCAAATTCTTCCTTTGGCAAATGACTGTCCTCAGCCAGGAAAAATCAGGCTGGGAAGTGAGAGGAGAGAAACAGCCCTGAGGAAATTAGACTAAGTGAGAAACTCATTGAAGTCCTGGGTAAGGAGCAATGCAATTGGAAAGCAGATAGGCGGGTTGGGGTAGTTCATACCTCTGACCTGCTGCCCAGGCAGGCCTTGGTGAGCAGAGGCTTCCTCCCAGGACGACTCCTGGAAAAACAGCCATAGTTTGGGAGGCAGGAGGAGCCTGGGAATAAGAATTTAGGGGGAAATTTTATGCTTTTGAGCACAACTACTAGAATAACAAGGATAAAAGAACTCTGATTATTACAAGAAATCCATTATCAGGGGAACCTGAGGCTTTGCTACATATATGTGTAATGTGAACGCATTTAGCCACTCTCAGATATTCATGCATCTTCATCTATGTTCACCTACACATTCACATACACACAAGCAGGCACATTTATGTTACACAAACATGCATTCTCACATTCACCAACATACCCACCTCACTGTGTACGTTAAAGATTGTACCATTTTCTTTTCTGGGAAATTCCTAGTGCCCTGGGATCTAACACAGATGGAGTGCTTGACAAGTACATTTTTTTAAAAATTTAGTTGTAGATGGACACAATACCTTTATTTTATTTATTTTTTATTTTTATGTGGTGCTGAGGATCGAACCCAGTGCCTCTCACATGCTAAGCAAGCGCTCTACCACTGAGCCACAACCACAGCCCCTTGACAAGTATTTTAACAATGTGGATGCTCATCATGGCCTCATTCTCTCTCTACTTCTCTCCCTGAAATGCACACACATGCACACACACAATGCCTGTTAGATGGACACTCTCTCCTTCAGGCCTCTTTGACAGATAGTCTACCAGTAGTTTGGATCCAATCAGGAGACAGAAACCACATAGTAGTTTAAACAGGAGGAATTTAAAGAATTATGAAACCATGATTAAAGAAACAAGGACACGCTCTAGTGTCTCCCAGGGCCGAGGGACAGTGCTCAAGGAAGGACACACTTGGAAGAGGCTCAGACCTTTTGTCGGGGAGATGTGGTTCAACTCCCTTGATAACAGATTCACTGATTTTGCCAGGCTGGAGCTGGTGTGCAGTCTGTGCAAGCAGGCCTGGAATGGTCCAGCCCCTGGTGGTGTGGGCATGCAGAGGAGGTGGCCCATCCAGGGGCCTTGCAGAGGAAATCAGGGTGCTGGCAGGGGAAAGAGGGCTTTGGACCCTGGTTTCCCTATTAAGTGGACTCCAGAAATGTGTTGACCAAGTCAAGACTACAAGGTGGATAGGGCTGAGGGTTCTGGGATGAGACAGAGATCTACCTGTGGTCCTCATACCACACCACTGACCAGCAAGCATCCTGCCTTCCTTGGTCCCAAACTCTGGAGGGTCCCCCTCTTTCAGTGCCCCTGCAGTGCCTTCTCCTCCGAAAGTGCAACATGCTCATTCAAAGGAGAAGTGCTTCAAGTAGCCCAGCCACTCATCACAGGCATAGACTGTGCACTCGGAGCTGAGGCAGTGCGTGATCCCTGCACAGACGGCCCCGACGGCTTGATCATGCGGATGGTGGCAGGAGAGGGGCGTCCTGCAGTCCTCTGTGGAGCTTCCTCCAGTTTCATTTTCTTTCTGTTAAGAGATGAACTACAGGGAGGGGATCTATATGTGAACTGTAGCTCACTCATCCCCAAAAGGGGTCTTGGGAGTTCCTTGGGTCTGTGCAGTTTATCCTTCTTTTTTTATTCCTCCCCAATTACAGGTCAAACCAAGACCCAGACCCGGAGACCTGATTGAGATTTTTCGAATTGGCTATGAGCACTGGGCCATCTATGTAGAAGATGACTATGTGGTCCATCTGGCTCCTCCGAGTAAGAGAGGAGACAAGACTGAAATACTGACATTGAAGTTATCAGTATAAATAGAAGTACAGTCAATTACCATGTCCCTCAGCTGCTGCCGTTCTCTGGCAATAAAACACCCTTGAACATTCCTGGACTTTCATTAACTGTGAAGTAGAGCCTGGTCTCCACTGAGTGTCCAGCCTGAGAGTGACACAAATGCAGAGTGTCCCCTGAGTTCCCTGGCCCTCTAGAGCACTTTTACAGAGAAAAACACGAGCCTCCATTCTGTACTGACAGCAGTTCAGCGTCCTTCTTCATATTTCTGCAGATACCCCTGAGGGGGTGGTGGTGGATGCTTACATGTCACTTCCTTCCCGTTATCTCCAAATGCTGCTTCCTGCTCCTGAGCTCTCCTGTGACACCTTCATCCTCATTCTTGCTGCTTTACCCTAAATGTAGACCCAGGGCTCATCTGTTCTCAAAGCAGCATTAACTCCAGCCTCACGTTGAACTTGGGTGAATGGAAGTTTAGTGGAGATTTTAGGGGACCAGGTGGTGACTGTGGAGAGGGACTGGAACAGAAGGGGAAACAATTAAAACTGAATATAGCTCAGGGTGGCCTCAGGAGATGGTGCCTGGGGGGCAGGGTTGGAGGTGGGGGAAGAAGTCACTGGTCACTACTCTCTAAGGACATTTGACTTTAGTATCCTATTGACTGTTCAGAATGAAATTACCAAAGAATAACATGCCACAGGCCTGTGGCCGCAGCCTGTTGTCAACACTTATCCCCATGTGTGGTCCTTTTGCTTTGGCCCAGTCTCTCACCTTGCTGGGACCTTACCACTGAGCAGAGCCCCTTTCCTGCCACTTCTCTTCTCAGCCCCACCCACTTCCTGTCTGCATTTCCTGTCTAGAGCCTAATTGAAGAATGTAAAAACTCCTCTCCACCTCCCCTTTCCACAGGCAGTCCATGAGCTCCCCTCTTGCATAAGCAAAGAAATGGTCAACACTATGCACCCGCCTCAGATCTTTCTGTAAAATTGAATTCTGCCATCTCTGTTCCCGAATGTTCAGTTGTCTACTGCCTGCTCTTATTAAGTTTGCTCTTCTCTGAGGAGAAGAACGAGGAACAGTTCATGCTCTTGGACACCTTACAAAGAGGTGGTGGTGGTGAAACATGGATTTGCCTATCAAAGTAGTTGCAGTGTAAAAACAATCTCCCCCCCCCCCCCAGTTTTATTTGTATATGCCACATTAATGATAGATACTTATGGGGTACAGTGTGGTGTCTTGATACACAAGGTGTAGTTATGTATTGGGGGTAATTAGCATATCCAATGCCTCAAACATTTATCATTTGTTTTTGGTAAGAGCATTCAAAATCCTCTCTTCTAGCTGGTTTTAAATGACCATGCACTGGCTTCAGTAGGTTCTTCAACCTCTCTGAGTCTCTGTCTCCTCCGAGGATTAACATAAGGCAGCAGCTTTCAAATCTCTCTCCTTTTTTCAAAGACATGCAGCCCATTTGCAAAAAACCCCTTCATAAAAATCCCTGTATTTGAGTAGAGATGAAGTCCCAGGGGATGTAGGTGGGCACTGGTGGAAGTGGACATTCAGAGCTGTGACCGCTTGTCCTCACCTGACGGGGGCATGTAATTGTGAATATGACCACCCTTTACCCAGAGCTGACACTTATCCAGAGGGTAGAGGTAAGTGAACTCTGGTTAGGAAACAAGACTCAAGTCCTCAGGCTTGGTCAGGTCAGTACTGGCCAGTCCACGGCCACAGCCTAAGGAACTTCTGGAGTGGATATTAAAAGATTCCTGTGGGAGTGGAGTGTGCAGGCCAAAGGCTTCTCTAGAAAGTTGGTCCTTTGAGGTTCATTTAATCCAAGACCCTCCTGAAGCCTTGGGCTGAGCCAGCGCCCCGCCCCACCCCTTAGCAGCTTTCCCACTTTTTTTCTTCTTTTCCTTTTGGTTTCCAGGTGAGGAATTTGAGGTTGGCAGCATAACTTCTGTCTTCAGCAACCGTGCAGTCGTAAAGTATAGCCGCCTGCAGGATGTGCTGCACGGGTGTTCCTGGAAGATCAACAACAAGCTGGACGGGACCTACCTGCCCCTGCCGGTGGACAAGATCATCCAGCGCACGAAGAACATGATCAACAAGATCGTGCAGTACAGCCTGATCGAAGGGAACTGTGAGCACTTCGTCAACGACCTCAGATACGGCGTGCACAGGAGCCAGCAGGTGTGGTCCCACTTAGTCTGACGGTGGCTTCCCATGGAGCTTTCTTGGGCTCTGTCAACTCATCAGGGATCAGTATGGCCCATCACTGGCTTCCTCATGCTATTTGTGCGAGCTGGGCTTTCTGTTTTTACAGGACCTTGTGGTTCAGGAAGTATGTGCACCTCTGCTCCCCCATGGAGGTGGAGAAAAAGCACTGGTGTTGATGGGAACACCACCTGAGTGGAGTCCCAGCTCAGCCCTTAGCCAGGGTGGTGGTCTCTGTCTAGTTGCTCGGTTTCTGAGACTTGAGGCGGATGCTTAATTGTTAAAGTTGCAGATTGCTGGTCACATCTTGGATCTGTTGTTATCACATGTTTTTTAAGTTACTTGCCAACATTTAAAAATCTAGACATTTTACATAAAGAGGTCTGGATTCCAGCTTTTCTTGAACAACCAATTGATCAGGCCATTGGGCCAGTGTTCTTGCATAGTGAGCAGGACCTGGTTGTGGCTTTGAGCGGTGTGTGGGAGTTGGTGTTCCCTGCTCCTCTCCATTACCTACCTGCCTGCCTCTTGTTGCATTTGGCTGTGTGACGCTCCCACCCCCTGCCGTACAGGGCATTGATGAATTAATCAGTCTTGTGGTACATAGAGTACATGTGCGAGAGACTTGAAAGCCCAAGTATCTGTAAGAATCTGGATGGTTCTTGTTAGTAGCTGACCCTTGACAAAACCTCATGAGATGAACCGACGAACGTGTATTGTTTCCTTTTAACTGGATGCCAAAAATCAAGGGTTAAAGGTGGATCATAATTTTTCCATTTTTTCTTCTTCTGTTTCTTCTGTTCTCTGAACTGACTGGGCTCAAATCCTATGGTTGGTCTCTCTGCTGTCTCATGCCCCTCAGTGAGCACTGCCAGGCCTCCAACCTGCTCCGGCTCCTCTTTGTGCTTTCTGGTTGCCTTCTTCTGGACTCTGCCTCCTCTGCTTGCCTGTGCTTCACTCTGTGTGCACCAGTGCCCAGGGTCTTGGTGGGCTCTGATACGAGGGATCTCCTATCCCATGAGCGTTTGTATGTGAAGAAAAGCCCCCGAGGGTGCAGGGCATGATTGAAACCCTCTGAGGAATTCTGGGCCCGGGAGTCAGGGGGTCCCAGCCAAGGGCTAACCTTGGATATTCATTTACTTTGCAATTCTGTCCAAGTGAATTCCCCTCCTTGGCTCTCAGGTTCCCCATTTGAGGGCTCAGTGGCCTCTAAGCCCCACCTGGAGCCAGCCCCTGTGCTGCAGGAAGATGAGGACCAAGACCCCTGGATGCTTCCCAAGGGAAAGAAAGCCTGTCTGCCTTGGGTGCCCGTCTCCAGCAGTCCTGGCCTCTCTTGGTCTCTCGCAGCTCTAGAATTTTTGGAAATATATGATAGCACGGGCTAGTTCTTTCTCTGGGAAAAGACTCCGGGCAGGCTGGTTCCTGAAGGGGAATGGTGGGGCAGAGGCAGCAGAGGGTGCCAGGCTAGATGGGTGCTGACTGCCCTGTGGCCTGGTGTGCTTTGCAGGTGGAGCATGCCCTGATGAATGGAGCAAAGGCTGTGGGCGCCGTCATCTCAGCGGTTGTTGATAGCATCAGGCCCAAACCTTTAACTGCCTGAAGGTGCTGGATACTCCAGTGGAGGAAGAACTACCGACACCAGTAAAGAGAGTATGCTTCTTTCCCTTCCCTTGCCTCCCTCCCTCAATGGCCCTGATAAGAAAATTGTGAGCTTCTGGAAGAATCTACAATGTATCCAGTTCCCCCTCCAGAAATACATCCAATATATGTGACCACGGACTCTCAAAATGGGGAGAACCCATATCTACTGCGTGTCTGTTATGCGCCAGGCACTGTGTGAGGCATTTCACATACCATTTAATCTGACCCTCTGGGGAGAAAGAAGCCGTGCTTGTTTCTTAGGCTGATCACCCAAGAAAACTAGAGATGGGTTCCCCTGTGGCTTGGAATGGCATGTGGAAGAGAGAGCAGTAAGGTGGAACCCAGAAAGAGTTCAGGTAAGCTCTGTTAGGATTGCCTGGTGGCCTTTCTCAGGGAGACCCGCGAGGTTTTTTTTGTCTCTTTTCTTAGCCATCCTGAATGCTGGACTCTGGGCATGTGTCTTTGTTGGTCTTCCCTCTTCCCTTCCCAAGCAGCCTGTCTCTTTGCCTGCAGGGTAGTCCTGGGTGCTTGTAGACAGAGCAAGCCCTCATTTCTGCAAACTACAACTAGGATGACATTTAATGACTAGTTCCTGTCCCCATCTTCTCCACCCCCGGGGAAAGCAGTGAACTCCCAATCACCCCTTCCTTCCATTTCTTTACTCACTATCTGATCTATATTGAGACTACCATTTTAAAAAACATTATTTATTTATTTTAATTAGGTATATATGACAGCAGAATGCATTGATTCATTGTACCCAATTGCAGCACAACTTTTCATTTCTCTGGTTGTACAGGATGTAGTGTCGTATCATATGCGCAGTCATACATGTACCTAGAGATAATGATGTCCATTTCATTCCACCATCCTTCCTGCCCCACCCCCCTCCCCTTTGCCTCCATTTTTCCCATGTCCCCCCCACCCCCTTATGGATCAGCATCCACTTATCAGAGAGAACATTTGGCCTTTGGTTTTTTGGGATTGGCTTAATTTGCTTAGCATGATATTCTTCAACTCCATCCATTTACCTGCAAATGCCATAATTTTGTTCTCTTTTGTTGCTGAGTTATATTCCATTGTGTATATATATCACAGTGTCTTTATCCATTCATCTGTTGAAGGGCATCTATGTTGGTTCCACAGTTTAGCTATTGTGAATTGAGCAGCTGTAGACGTTGATGTGGCTGCATTACTATAACATCCTGTTTTTAAGTCCTTTGGATATAGACCAAGGAATGGGATAGCTGGGTCAAATGGTGGTTTTACTCCAGGTTTTCTAAGGAATCTCCGTACTGCTTTACAAAGTGGTTGCACCAATTTGCAGTTCCACCAGCAATGTATAAGTATACCTTTCCCCCACATCCTCACCAGTACTTATTGTTTGTATTCTTGATAACTGCCTTCTGATGGCATGAGATGAAATCTTAGTTTTGATTTGCATTTCTCTAATTACTAGAGATGTTATGGAACCCAAGTACCAGGAATTTATAATATTTAATGAAGTCTATTCCTTAAACTAGCTCTGTCATGTTTTAGCGAACCCTTTAATCTCAAGAAGGTTTTTAATTTATGGACCATCTTAATCTCTAATCAAATAAACTGGATGTTGTTTGATTAACAACATCTCCCCACCAAAAAGTATTCAGTGACTTCTAAATAATGAACTCATCCATCTTTTTCTTATGTCTGGAGCAGAAATACATCTCTGGGTTCTGTATGGTTTGAGCCCTGTGGAGCAGAAAACTCTGGAGTATTAGGAGCTAGGTTTATTCATTCATTAAAAGAACATTTTTGAGCTTATGCCATGTAGCAAGCCCTGGGTATCCACGCCTTTGCCTGAGTCTCTGAACCCTCAGCATTCTTGTGACCACAGCCCATTTCCACCCTCATGTTGTTCCTATAGAAACCTCTTTTACTTCAGCAGAGTAACTAATGACTGCACAAATTCTAAGAAGGCTGTTTGAGCCAATTGAAATTCTGTTCTCAAAGTTTCTATTTCCAGTGCCTTTGAAACCAACTTTCACCTGGCAACACCTTTAATGGAAACCAACTGATTTTTTTTCTTTGCTTGAGTCTGATGGTCTTTTATGTGTGCATTTTATAAAAAATATTTTTGCTGACTCAGATTATTCTGTTTGCCAGGAGAGATATAAAAAAAGTTTTTATGTTTGTTTTTAAAAAGATGGCTTAAAGTTTAAAGCCAAAGCATTGCTGAGTTTATATAGCAGTGTGGGGAGTGCTTTGTAAATGATTAGTTTCCAGCATTTCTAGTTCTAAGAAGAGCTTTTGGAAAAAAAATCCTGGAGACCACAGGTTTCTAGTCTTTTGGTCTTGATGAACAGTGTATTCCCTGTCTTTTGCTGAACCCATGAGCGGTGGTCAGGTGGATCCTGAGTCAGAAAGAGAAGAACAATGTGGCCTTGACTGTTTTTCCCAGAGCAGTAATTCACACTTTTCTTTAGCAGCAGGATCTTCTCTTCAGGCATAACATTTCTGCCCAGTGTAAAGGAGGGATTAAAACAGGGCCTGTCACTTTGAGTAGGCAGCTAGAGGGGCCTCTGCTAGACTGGAAGATTTTTTTTTTTTTTGGCACTGGGTATTGAACTCAGGGGCACTTGACCACTGAGCCACATCCCCAGCCCTATTTTGTATTTTATTTAGAGACAGGGTCTCACTGAGTTGCTTAGTGCCTCGCTGTTGCTGAGGCTGGTTTTGGACCCGCAATCCTCCTGCCTCAGCTTCTGGAGCTGCTGGGATTACAGGTGTTCACCAGTGCGCTGGGCTACACTGGAGGCTCTTATTGACAGTTTCTGCTCTCAGATGATGACTAACAATGGCATCTGAGTGTTCATGCTGTTCCAGGTGCTGTCTTACATGTTTTAGAAACATCCCTACGAGTCCCTTCACTCACTCCATGGCTCTGTGGACTTTTTTCATTATTTCCTTATAGACTTGGTGCCCCCCCTCCCCCAAACATGCTACCCCACTGAACCAACTTGATCTGTGACTTACCCAGGTAAACATTTAGAGTGGTCATGTCCCCTTGGTGAAATAAATAAATTGAAACAAAGAGCCTATTTATAACAAACGCAGAGAAGAAGGTAGGTAGGGGCCAGAGATGTATCACTATAGGGACAATTTGGCCAGGGGCAAAGGGCTGTGCTATCCATGCATCTCAGTAGCAGGACAGAGTCAAGTTCAGATAATCCTAAATCAGGTCTTGGCTATTTGGTGAGTAGTAGTGGATATTAGTGAGTAGGATACATTTTGAAAACTGATTTATGGCACCTTTGGGATGGGGGGGGGGTCTCTGCAGGGTGCAGATACTGCTCTGTTTTGGATAAATGTCTTAAAAGGCTTGGTTGCCAAGTTTCTGGTGCTACTGGGAGGTGGTGTCATCTTTATATGGTGGGACCTCACGGAAGGATGTTAGGTCATGGGGGGGGGGCATGGTCTTAAAGTGCTAATGTGATCCTGGCCCCTTTCTGTCTCTTTCTTTGCCTCTTGGCTGCCATAAAGTAAGCAGTGCTCCCACCATGATGCTCTTTTGCCTTGCCACAGACCCAAAAGCAGGGGAGCCAACTGACCATGGACTTTAAACCTCTGAAATTATGAGCCAAAATAAACCTTTCCTCCTTATAAGTTAATTACCTCAAGTGTTGTGTCATGGTGCCAGAAAACTCACACAGATGCTGAGTTAGGATTATCCACATTCAGTGTCTGCTCATGAGAGTGGAAATAACAAGACATTTTAGTCTGGAGTAACCAGGGGGCCCGGAACATCTAAACCTCTTTAGTAGCTTGATGCCACACAGAGACCACCAACCTTGTGACTATGGCAGAGCTCACCAGGACAGTGACACCTATCAGGAGGGCAGCTTTGGAGCCTGATGGAGCCCACTCTGGACCAACTATAGTAGGATCAGTCTCCACCACCCCTCAGCTCAAGGGGTTATAGTAAGACGTTTCTTTGGGACTCATTCAAAAGCAGATGCCGAGGGCTCTGTGCTCCCATACCTCTATACCCCATTGGTGAATGTCCAAGGAAGCAGGAAGGCACCTCCCCCAGAGCCCTGGAATGTCACAGGGCAATGGAAAAATAGTACTGTAGTAGCTGTTTATAAGTCATTGATGAAGTAGCCTTCTGGGGACACACATTCAAGGCTATTCCACTGCAAGGATGGGCTCAGGAAGGGTGGGATGGCTGGGGAGGTTCATCTTGTCTATCAAGAACCCATACTTCACACATGAGGATCCTGGCAGACATGATATTAAAGAAAAGTGGTGGAAAGAAAAGGAGCATATGGCAGCATTGATCTGCCAATCCCTAAATATGGGAAAAAAGCCTTCAGCTGGTCTTGTCTCTCTGGGCATTCCTGAAGCTCAAGTAGAACTGAGTTAAGATTGTCTTGGTTGCAAAGGACAGAAAACTCAACAAAATAGCTTAAGCAAAGTGAGGAATTTACTGGTTTAAGTGACTGTCAAATCCTGGAGTAGAAGACAGTGCAATTGGATTTAGGGCTTCATGGTACTGGCTTTAAAATCACATGGTGGGTCAGGCCTCTGGAACCATGTGATGGTTGAGGAGAAGCTGGTGGAGGTGGCGGATGGAGCCAGCACAAGACCACAGTATACCTCATGATTTTGGGCCTCTCACTTTGGCTTCCAGCAGGACCTGCCATATGCTGTGACTCATGAAAACTAGTCCTTCTCGTTCTGTTCAGACTCATGGCTGGGATTCCTTAGAGAAGCTTCATAGTAATGAGACAAGTAGGTATCACTTATTAACAGATTTTTCCCACTTAGGTTATTTTATAGGAAATACACTTTTTGAGGTTCATGTTTTTTTTGCCATTTCAGTTCAATTCAGCATTATAGATAACTTGTTATTTCAGATCAGGCTCCCTGGGAAGCAGACTTGGATCCTAAGTTTTGTGAGCAGGAAGTTTACTGGAG